TGCACCTTAAAGTGGGTCTGCATGGTCTCACATTTCTGGGCCTGACCCCTGGCCTGTGAAATCTGACTCTCTGGGGTGGGGCCTGGGCATCTGCATTCTGCAGGCCCATCTGGAGAGTCTTAGGTACACTCAGGTGAGAGCCGCCCACCAGATGGTGACCTGCTTGAGGCAGGGATTGTGGCCTTGCAACATTCTAGCCACCTTGTCTACAATCTCACCCTCTCCCCTGCTTGAGCTTCCTGCACAGCACCCAGCGCTATCTGACGCAGTGTGTACATACTTCACTTATTTGTTCTGCTGTTATCAGACCTCCCTGCACACACACTAGCGGGTAAGCTCCCTGAAGAATGGATTCGTTCCGTTTTATTCACTATTATAGCCCCCGAGACTAGAGCGATGCCTGGCACATGGTAGGCGCTTCTTAGATAGTGTCAAGGGGTGAGTCCATATCCCAAAGCTTTCCCTGATAAAAGCTCACTAGTGAGGGAGGGGTCAGAAAGAGAGGGAGAGAGTAATCCCCTCACAGTGCCCTCTCAGAGACCCCAGACAGAGTAAGGCCCAAGAATCCCACCTGCCCTGACGATGTGCCACCTGGTGTCCTCCACTTAGGAGGCTGGTGTCTTTCCGTGCCCTACACCAGCTGACCATGCTGACCACCTTGCACAGTCCAGCTGTGCATTGCCACGGGGACTAAGACAAGCGGCATGATCCCCCTGCCTCAAGCTCCCTCCCCTGTGCTCTTACAAATCCCACCTATCTGCAGCCCAGCAGCCTTGCTGAGCCGCTCCAGCCCACTCTCCCCGTTCTCTGGCTCTCAGGAGCACCTGCACTTGCACCTGGCCAGTGGGGCCGCTGTGCTGTGCGTAGGCCTCCCCGATAGACTGGGCGTTTGCCGACAGCAGACCTCATCTTCTTCACCTTTGTTTGCAGTCCCTAGAGCATGGTGGTTGCTCAATAACTTTTTGTGGCTTTAAGGAAAAGCACATGGAACACAGTTATGTTCAGGGCTTGGTGTGTGCTAGGGCCTGGAGGGAGGCATAAGAGTGAACATTAACGTGGAGCTCTGACTCTCACGCAGGGATCAGGCATGGATCCAGGAACTACACGGCCACATGCCTTGGTCCTGGAGCTCAGTTGCCCACCTACTCAGCTTACTGCTGCATCTGGTATTAGTAGCTGACACTTGCTGAGTGTTAACTGTGTGCTAAGTGCTAAGCATTCCACATGGGGCATCTAGCTTAATTCTCATGACGGTTTTTTGAGGCAGGAACTATTATTACACGCATCACATGCGTATCAGGACCTGTGCTATTTCGGGGGGGGGTGGTAAAAGGCTATGGGGCATTTCATGGGGAGGCCAAGCACGTATGATGAGGGGTAAAGGAGGAGATCAGGAAGAGGGACTGCATCAGCATGGACACCCCGGCCAGTGACACTTTCAGAGCAGGGACCCAGTGCCATCTCCATCATGCCTTCAATCCTGAAACCACTGGAATCAGGCTCCATGGGGGCTCAGAAGTACCCTTCAGGGTTTCCCAGTATCTACAAGTTCAACCTTCAAAACGCCAACCTAGGGATCAAGGATCTTGGCCTTGTCAACATTTGTCTGATGTGCTGGCTGTTTTTGGTCCATTCAACCAGCTTTGTTTCCATCTGAACTTGGAGCGAAAATAATTATGAAATCACCCCTACCTGCACCCCTCCCCCAACCTGCAGAAGTCATGTCAGGAAAGGATCCTGTCCTCTTTTCACTTTAACTCCCACCAGGTAGGGGCCTCCCTGCGCCCCTCGCATTCCCCTCCCCATTCCCTGTCCACCAACCCCGTGGTTGGGAGCCTCTCTGCCTCCCTGGCACAGGTGCCAGGCCCTCTGTCCTGCTCCCAAGCCCCTCCCTCTGTCCTAAGAACACTCTGGGCTCCAGGCTGTGAGTGACACTTTGGATACAAGAGCACAGGGTGCTCCTGGACAGAGAGCAGGTAGGAAGGTGAGGAATTGAGATGGGATGTGAGAAATTCAGAGAACAGGGGACATTGGCAAAGGCAGCAAGTCTACTGCCCCGCCTCTCTGCTTGGAGGATGGGTCATTAGACAAGATCTGTAAATAACATCCGAGTGGCCTCCTCCGGTGCTGCTGCGTCTGAACGCTGATGTTCTGCTCCCCAAATAGAACTTGCTATCTGCTCCAGGCATTCCCTGGGCCCTGGGGGGGTGGTGGCGAGAACCTGCCCCTTTCCCTCAGGGTACTCTAGAGCCAGGCCCCAGGGCGTGGGGCTCCCTCCAGCTCACAGGTCTATCTATGGTGGGCTGTGCTGAAGTAAGGGAAGTGTGGCCTTTGCAACATGCCTGTGTCGCTGGAGCACCTGAGGTTCCTGCTTTCAATGGCTCGTGGGAGGGACAAATAATGCTGTATTTTCTCCCTAAAATAAGCAGAGATTCAGATGCCCAGGGGACACAAGAATGGGCCCAAAGACACCTATGTTTAAGCCCCACGGAAATGTATCCACTCACTCCCCTGTGTTTCGGGTCTTCAGGGAGGGCCCTGAGAGTGTGTGCGACCAACCGACCAACCGACCAACCGACCAACCAACCAACGACAGCCCCAGAGTGCCTGCCATTGGAGGTGGCGGAGAGGAGGCAGGGCGGAGAACGGGGCCAGAGCCCTGCGAATGTGCAGTCGGGCTTCCTGTCCCATTACAATGTGACTCCCTGCCCCGCTCCGTTTCTCTCTCACCCTCTCTCCCTTTCCACTCCAATAATCCCTCCTTCCTCCTCGGCAGAGCAGAGGGTGACTGATGGGTCTGCCATCTGCTGCCTCCCCCCTGCCCCAGGTCCTGCCGCAGGAGTAATCTAAACGAGTTGAGTAAGCGAGATAAGATCCTTGCTGCCATTAAACATTGACAGGCCCCAGCGCGGGGAGAGTGCTCAGTTGCAGAGAAACTCCCAGGCTAGTCCGCGGGAGGCAGGGAGACCGCAGCAGCTGGGCCATTACAGATGAATGGAAGCCAACCCCTCTGAGGGGCGTGTCTCTTAAAGCGGCAGCCCCCCTGTGGGCCAGAGGAGGAGCCAGTAGGATTTGGAAAAGGCCAGCAGGGCCCAGACTCTAAGCAGTACTTGAAGTGTTAGTCGGGCAGAAAGGGCACGGGCTCCCGCTGGAGTTAGGAAGACTTGCATTTGAGTCTTGGCTTGACCCTATAGTATGGCCTCAAACACCCTGAACCTTGTTTGTCCATCTGTAAAATGGGTGTAACACTTACTCAAAAGGTGGTTACAAGAATGAAATGAAATAGTACATATAAGCTGTTTAGCACAGGGTTTGGCCCATTAGAAATGACCGCTTAAGGTTTAGTACCCCCTGCTGGGTGCAGTGGCTCTTGCCTGTAGTTTCAACTACTTGAGAGGCTGAGGCAGAAGGATTGCTTGAGGCTAGGAGTTGAGGCTGCGGTGTGCCATGATTGCACCTGTGAATAGCCACTGCACTCCAGCCTGGGCAACATAGTGAGACCCCATCTTTAAAAACAAAACAAAATAAACAAGCAAAAACGTTAGTCCCCCTACTCTTCCTGGAAGAGGGTGAGGTTCTTCTCAGACTTAGGTCTCCTCAGGCCTGGTGGGATCTTTTCCCGGCCCTCCTCCCCCATGGGGCTGCTAGAAACCCTGGTCTCATTGTCTGTTTGCTCGCCGCCGGACTTCCCCTACTAGACTGGAGACACTTTGAAAACAAGTATCTCGGGCACCATTGATTTTCCAGTACCGGCTCAATGCTCCTAGTTGCTTAGAGAATGTCGGATGAAATGAAACTGACAAAAGCCTTTCAGAGGATATATATGAGACCAAGAAATGGAAGGCAAATGACGGAAGACGGAAGAAATTGGGGTAATTTGGCACAGAGAAGATCACCCCAGGCTGCCCACGCTCACAGTGAGCTTGGGTGTGGTTAGTCCAACATCCTTTGCAATGAAGGGGACTGAGGCCCAGCAAGCTGGCAGCTGAGCCAGAGAGTTCTCAGGGCTCCTGACTTCTGGCACCATGCTGAAGAGCTTAGGCTGGGACTGACAGGCTCTGTCCCCCTCCCCTGGAGGTGCCTGGACAGGTTCTGTGACTTACCCCCAGTTCCACAGAGTTAGCCCTGGGTGCTCTGAACCCAGGTGGCTCTTGTGACTTCCCGGCCAGCACCACCGCCCCTGGGTACCTGGAACTTCTTGTCGCAGACTGGAAGTGCACTTGACTCTGCAAATTTTGGCTCTAGCAATAGTGCCACGCACTTCCTTGACTCCGGGGGGTGGGGGTGTCAGGGATTAAGTGGGAGTGTTTGAAAGAGGGAAGAGGATGAGCCAAGTCTGACATGGCCAGTCCTTTCCCTGCACGGTGTCTGCCCCAAATAACACACTGACTCAACCTGCATTAAGTCACCCTGCTATTATGGACCTGAACTCTTCCCCCACGGAACCGCCTTGCGGCTTCCTCAGTAGAATGGCCGAGAGGCAAAGATGGGTGGGACCCTGCTCACCCCTGGGTGGCCAGATGGAGTAGGGAGTCAGCAAGAGGAGACCCAGGTCCCAGTCAGTTTCTCTGGTAGTATCTTCACAGCCGATTCTGTGCAATCATTAGGAAGATTAAATAAATGTGAAAGTTCTGGGAGATAATTAATATCACTATAATAAGTATTTGGCAGGACAAGGACTGAATGGATCAAGCCAGGGACACCTTGGCCAGGCAGGTTTCTTAACACTGAAAGGTTCTCAGACCTTCTACCTCCCAGTCCCCGAGAATGGGTCTTATCACCCTGTTGCTATCGGTGACTGCTTACGTGGTCTCCATCGTCCACAGGAAGGAGCTGGGCATTCTCCTCTCAGTCTGTAGTTCAGAGACCAGGATATATATGCATACATATATAATATAATATATATGATATCACATACAAAATATATATATATATATATAGGCCTGATCCAAGGTGTCCAGATCAAGGAGAAAACTTCATTTTATAATGGTAGAGAAACAGACCAGAAGGCCTCTTAAGTAAAGTCCTTTCTTATAATAGCAGTATTGAATCCTAAGTGTTTTACACACATGACCTCATTATTCAAAAACAATCCTATGTGATAGATGCTATTTTAATTGCCACTTTATGGATGAGGAAACCGAGGCACAGAGAATATTAGGCAACTTGTTCAAGATGAGTAAACCCAGGCAGACTGACGCAGCAGCCGGAGCCCCTGCCCACCCATTGCACAATCTGTCTCCACAAGGAGACCACTCTGGGGAGCTTTCGGGGTGAGGAGGGACTCCTGTTACAATGATCAGCCCCAAGGAAATTTCTCGGGACCTTTTCAGGGAGAGTCAAAACCCCTTCTCTGTCCCAATTCTAGGTCTGCTTGATAAGCCAGGAATAAAGCTATCCTGTATCTTCCGGAACTTTCTGCTCCCTGAGGCAGCAGGGCATTTGTTTGGCCAGGGTTTCCAAGCTCAGAGGCTCTCTGGCCCCAGTGACCCGAGGCAGCCCATGGGGCTATGCCAGGGCTTCCAGGCAGGAAGCTGCTGAGTGTACGCCTCCCCTAGCCACTGCCAGGTGAGATGGAGCTGGGTGGGACAGCCCGCTGAGAACCTAGAACTGGGACCTTTATGACAGTCCCCTCTACCCCGCCAGATCATTCACTAAAAGGCTCCTGAAAACTTGGCTCTGCTCTGTCCTCTGGGCCCCTGCTGCAGGCAGCTGCCTTTCAGTTCATTACTGGATCCCACTGAATCCAAAATTAGCTTGATTCACAGAAGGAAAAAAATACAAAACCCCACTATAGCCAGAAAGCAAATTGTCTACCAAGTCCTATGTGGTAGAAATAAGGTTTTGCCCTAAGGAGCCATCTGGCTGTGTGTCCTCTCCCAAACACATACTTTGTTTGGTACACTTATTGTCACCCTTCGCCGCGAGGAAACAAAGAGGTGCTGGCTGTGGACCAGTCTCACCAGGAACAAGCTAATGCTCTAATGACGCCAGGAAGGGGTGGAGCAGATAAGACAGGCACACACACCATGGAAAGAACATACAGAGATTTTCCACACTCCTTAAGCAACAGGTACACTCTGTGCGGGGCACGTTGAATAAATAAGCCTGAGGGTACAGCGGGGTGGACTCGGATGCCCAAGGAGGTGAGTCTCGACGTGGGTTTCCAGGAAGGCTACTTGCAGAGACAGCGTCTGGTGGTGACCTGGGGTCTGTGCAGGTGGCAGGCAGAATAACAATTCGTGTGTCCACAGTGGCACGGTTTACAATGCATCTTCATAATAACCGCATCTTCATGTGATCCTGACAGCCACTCCACAGGCTGAGTCTGCCACTGTCATTTTTCAGATGAGAAACTGAGGCTCAGAGAGGTTTCTGAATGGCTGTGGACTCGGGGCTTCCGACTCCCATTCTTCCTCCTGGGCTGCAGTTTGCCTGGAGAAGCCACACGATATCTCTTCATGTTCCATCAGCCCTCGCTGGGCGTGAAACCTTGATTTCTACAGAGGCTGCTTCCTCCCAAGGCCCACTGCAAAGTCACAGCGGTAAAAAGTGTGAGTGCAGGGACCATGCTGATGAGAGCTGGTGGCCGGGCAGCAGCAGGCCTCCCCACCCGGGATGGACGGGTACAGCTCAGTGGCAGGCAGAGTGCACCCCACCCCACTGGAAGGAAGATGGGCCTGCAGCAGGCCAGAGGCCTCCCCTCTGTACCCAGGGGAGCAGGTGGGGGTCTGAGGGGAGCCTGGCAGACGGTCTTTGGTCACCAGAGATAAGGATGGGATAAAGCAAGAGTCTTTTATTTTTAAACCAATCAATGAGAAGACAGATGTTCTTTGTTTCTGTGAGCAGCATCAGAAGAGGAAATGGGTTGTCTGTGGGGTGGAGGAGGGAGAGAGGGCAGGGTTTTAGGCTAGTGCTTTAGCCTCCAGGAAGTGGAACTTGTTACCCAAGGACTTCCCTTTTAGGCAGAATGTTTGCTTTCTTCCCAGGAAGAGTGGCCGGTATGTGTCCCTTCGTTGACACAGGGGGGCTAGAGGCTCTCAGAGGTTTCTCCCAGCCCTGGGAACTAAGGGTAAATCCAGCCAGCACGATGTCGCCCTGCAGAGACTGGCATGATCTTGGGCTGTGTGTGGTGGGAGTGGCAGGAATCCTTGAGTCTGCACAATGCCAGGGCAGCTACCCTCCTCCCCTCCTCCCTTCCCCACCCCCTTCCCAAAATTCTGTTGGGGCCACCCCTTTCTGGCCTCCATCACAGGGATTTTCTGATAGACAAAAGGGAACAGCTGGGACTGAGCTCCTACTATGTGGCCTTCCTGGGCCTGGCATGGGGGCACAAGAGGAATACAAAGTATTTCCTGCCCTCAGGGGTCGTCCATGGGGAAGTAGGAATTAAACACCCTCCAGAATTCTGAGGGAAAGGGAAAGCCACCGACAGAGAGCTGTGAACAAAATGCCTAAAGCTGTGAAAATCCAAAGACAGAGACTTGGAGGGGTGGGGACAGGAGGGAGAGGGGCTGGGTGCAGAGGATGAGAAGGGAGAATTGGCCCAGTGGGGACTGGGAGGTGGGGACTGTTTCCGAAGTATTTTCACAAATGTTTATTCTCTTGACACTCCACTGTCACAATAAGGGAAGCCAGCCAGAAAGCATTCCCCCCATTTCCGTGATAAGGAAATTGAGGCTCAGGGAAGGGCAAAGCTGGGTGTAATGCCTGTCTTGTGCTTCCGTGCTCACAGCTCTTCCTTCCAGGCCAGGCTGGGCTCTCAGGCTGGAGGAGGAGGCGGCAAAGGTGACAAGGTACCAGAGGGACCTCAAAGAAAGCTGAGGGGCAGGGCACCCCCAAAGGCAAACCTGGAACAGCTGATGACTCTGGCGTTCGCTCCATGTGAGGTCAGAGAGGACGTCTACGCTATTGCCACTACTACTAATAGGAATGACAGTTACTATTTAATTGTGTCGACTGTGTGCCAGGTGTGTACATCTTGTGGAAGGAATAAACATATGTTCAAAATGCTCAATAAACATGATCTCTTTTAATCCTCAAAAGAACTAATACGACCAGATTTAAACTTTTATTTCTGTTTTTCAAACAAGGATATCGAGGTTCAGAGAGGTTCGGAACTTGCCTGAGACCTCCCAGCGAGAGGCAGAGCCAATGCCCCACCTGACAAAGCCCACTCTCCGTACAGTGTACAGTACTGCCCAGACAGTGACACAAACACCACCTCGTTGTTTTTATTCAACACGTTGGCATCACCCAGTCCCAGGACACTGGCTCCTGAGGAAGGCAGGCCCCCTTCCGCGCAGCCTTTAAAATTCCCAGGCATAAAACTATTTTGACCGGCCACCCTGGGTCTAAGCCTCAGGACAGGGACCCTTGTCCATAGCCAAGGCGAATTTGCCACGTCCTTGCCGACCCCTGCCAAGGTGTCCACTCTGTCTTTCCATGCTCCCAACACCCACTCTATCATTGCACCCAGAGCTTGGGGAGGAGGAGTGAGGTTGCCGCCTAGACCATTCTCTACAGGGAGAGCCTGGGCTCAGGGGAAGTGAAGAGAGGAAGTGGGTCTCACTTAGACAGTGGAGGAGAGTGGGTGGCTGAGCACTGTGGGTGTGAGGGATGGTTTGGGAGGCCCTAGGGACTTGCCCCTGAGCCAGGCAAGTTCCCCAATCCAGTGCACGCAGGCACGCACCACACACACACACACACACACACACACACACACACACACACCCCTCCAGGCGACACAAGGCAGGCATCTGAGGGCAGCACTGCAACAGGCTACACCTGAGCACAGCTGGCTCAGCCATCCGGGTACCCACACCTATGAAGGCTCCAGGATGCAACGTGTTGATCTCTCGCTGTGGTTTCTCTTCCTTTTCTGCATCCTGGGCTCTGCCTGGCAGTTGGCCTCCTGGAAGCCTCCCTTTTTAGGCTTCTCCTCCTCCGTCAGCCCCTAGGCAGGACCTTTTTACTTGACTTGGCTGGGAAAGGGGCAGGGAGGTCGCTGGGCTCCCGAGAAGCCAGTCCCTTTACTGGGGCGCCTCTCATGAGGCATTTTCGGAGGTCTCCGGAAGCACAGATGCCACTTGGTCTTTTTGTTTGTTTCAGGAGGGAAGGGATTGAATTTCAGTAAGAGATGTGGGTCTTTAAACGCCCCCCTCCCCAGCAAAATACACACAGGGTGTCTGTAAAATACACATCCTTGGCACCATGAGACAAAATGTGCAGACTCTAAACACCCTGGGACGCCCAAAGCGCAGACCGTCAAGGACAGGAACTCCACGCCCACCCGGGGACAGAAATGCCCAGGCAAGCCGTGACACGCGCGGCCCTACCCCCGCCCATTCTGCGCCCACGGTTCCCACAGAGGCGCAAACACAGCGCATGACCTTGGCGGGGCTTGGGTAGCCTGGGCAGGGGCTGACCCGGCGGGCGGGCGCGACCGCTCCCTCCCGCCTCCCTCCTCCCCGCCACGTCACTTGTTTTCCTGCTGGGCCCGCACCTCCCACTGGCCGCTGACGTGGACCGCGGCGCGTCACCGCCCCGGCCGCCTGGAAGCGCTTCCCTTATATGGGCGCAGACTCCGGCGGGGCCGGCGGGGGTGGGGGCGCCGCGGGGAGGCCGGCAGCTGCCAGCTGTCTCTGGCCAGCCTCTCCTTTCCCAAAGAATGCCCAGGCCCGGGCCAAAGGGAGCCACGTTTGGAGAAGGGACACTGGCTTTCCCTTCTGCTGAGAGCGAGCCCAGGTCGGCAGCCTTCCCGACGACGTCACCTCCCTCCATACTCCCTCCCTGGGTTTCCCGTGGAGCGCTCAGGGCTAGATTGCAGATGACCAGGTGGCCTTTCACGGATGCACTCAGTCCCTGAACGTTTTGGGTCCCCAAAGTCCAAGGCCAGTAGGCTGCGCTGCGGAGGCCAGGGTGGAGTACATTCTTGTGTCAGTTGTGTGGCCTTAAACTAGTCTCACAATCCTCTCCAGCCTCAGTTTCCTTCTACATAAAATGTGGAGGATACTTGCCTTGATCCTCGTGAGGGTCAGAAGAGTGTTCTGCTTGTTGGTGTCAAACAGCTTTGCAAGCTGTGAAGTGCTGTTCAGGCCTACAGGTGGTCACCTGGCGTCCCTGCTGAGGAAGAGGCCCAGATGCCGGCATGGCCTTCAGAACCTGCCTCTGCCAGGCCTCACCCCTCTGCTCTGGGAATGCCCTTTGACCCTGCTGAAAAGCTTAAGCTTTGTAAACAGAGTCATCTGGCGTTTACCTCTCGTGCACCCACCATGGCCAGCTGTTTGTTTGGGGGCTCTGTTGGTAAGCAAGGGGAGAGCATGTTGAGATTACCCTTCTAGTTAAACCGGGGAGGGAACTGGGATTGCCAAACGCCAGCGGGTGAGCAGTCGTTGGGTGAACGCCTCACATAGCACAGGACACTGTGCAGGACATGCCTGTCTTCTGCTGCTGCTAATAAGACTTCCCTCCTTCCAGATCCAGCTCAGGCTCAGAACTCTCAGCCCCAACAAGCTATTTCCTGCCGGTCACCAGCTGACTGCTGGAGCCTTCATTCCAGCTCCTTGTTTATTGTGAACTGTGTTTGCGCAATGCTGCTCTGCCCACGTTTGTCAGCTTTGCATTTGTGTCCTTGGTGTGGATGCTTCTCCCCCCTCCAGAACTCGGAGTGCCCTGAGAGCAAGAGCCATTTCTTCCCAAATCAGACCAAAGAGCCTGCATGCTTCACCTCTGAGGGTGAGGACCAAGTCTCCTTCCTTTGATCTCTCTAGGACAAAGAGGACAAAAGGTATTCAGACCATGAGGTCAAGTGATTGATTTATGACCCATACATAAGTGGCAGTGAGTCATAGGTCCATCCCCATAAGTTCAGTCTCCACAGCACCCATTCTCCCATTCTTCCATTCTTCCTCCCCACTCTCTGGCTTCAGTGAGCCCCACAGAACCCCTTGCCAGGAAGGGCCATGTGGGGTTGCCAAGAGGTAGGTTGCACAGTGGGTAGGCAGGTCCCCTCCCTTTGGAGGGGGTTGTCCTCATTAAAGGTAAGGCACTGATGGTGACACCTATCCATGCTCCCAATGGGTAAGCTGTGTGTCCGCAGTAGTCAACTGCTCCTTAGGTGCTGGCCGGGACTGGTTCAATGCTTCATTCAAAGATCAGTGAGAGATCCAGTGCTCTTCCTCAAAACATTCCCAATTCCCCTGAGAGTGGGAATGGAGGGTGGGGAGACTTCCCTTCTCATCAGTGCTTTGAGATCCTATTTTTCTCAGGTCATCTCAGTTTAGGAATGGTCTTGCTGACCCCATGAGTGCTCTCACTGCTGTGAGCTGTGGATCTCCCCCCTCTGCCTTATTCCTACATGTGAACTCCTCACAAGGTCTGTACATACATCATGGGCTTTACTGAAGGGTGAGGTCTTCAGAGGGTGTTGTTAATACAGCAAAAATGTAAACAGCTTAAAAATGGAGTGTTGGGCATTTCTGTTCTTAAAACTTCCTTTGGCTTCCTCTCTAACACTGGCTCCGGCCCCTCCCCACACCACTTTAATGTTACTCAAGCTCTTAGCTGTCTCTTCTACCACTTCCCCTCTTTTTTGCTCTTCTCCTGGGAGAAAAAATACAGATTCCTCCTGCTTCCTTCTACAGAGTAATTCAGCTCTTTCTAACCCTGGCCCACACCTCTGAGCATCTCTAAGAGTTCAATAAGATGGTCCAAAGCCTCTGCATGGGTAAGTTCTTAGGCAAAGAGTCCCACCTTTGTCCTTCTAGGCCAGGCTGGAGGGGCTGGTGGTGGTGGTCTTCCTGGGCCTACACAAGGTTTTTCTGCATAAGGATGCTTACTTACAATAGACTCCTCTTTGAATTCATAAGCTGGGGGACAGAGAGTTGTTGTCTTTCTGGGAGCTTATCCAGTCCCACTAAGATAACCATTCTGCTCCCCATTTGGAGGCTCGATCTTATCAAAACCCTCTTAGACACATCTCATAACTTCCTCTCTCCATTCACCTCATGACCTTTTGCTGTGGGTTCGGCCTGGCTTCCACACAACTCTAACGCTGGGAGACGGCAGCTGAAACCACCTGGGCCACCTGACTCAGCAGGGCACAGCCCCTGACCTCAGAGAGTTCCTGAGCCAAGAGGGAGGGAAAGAAACTCTGAGCTGAGGATAGAAAGAAATGTGCAGATGATGTTGATTGCTATTGTGTTATCCCAGCCATAATCCTGATCCTGATTACTTCTGTTGTCATTACGGGCTCTCATTAAAGGTGAGCCTAATTAAAGAAGCTATTAAATGCCAGCTGAGAATAACTTCAGATTCCTTGGCTCCACCATTCCAACATAAGGATTCATACCATAAATTCCTCCTTGACAAATGTGTGGATGTGTGTGTGAAGGGGAACATTTTAACAGACTAACTTGAATACTTTCTTATATTTTACAGTGAAAGCTACATATTTCCCCTTTTGGCTTGGCTTCCTGGAAGCTCAGAGATAAATTTAGGGGTCAAAGAAGTAACTAATTCAAACAAATAGTAAATACCTACCTTTCTCTCTTTCCCTGTTACTACTAGTTGATTTCTGACCTTTAATATAATATAAACATACACATATAATTATCCTCTTTTATATGTGGTTTAATATTTTAAGCTGCCTCAAATTCTTCTTGGAAGTAAGCAAAGTATAAATTATATGTAGTGATAGTTAACATGTACTGACCACTATTAATTATGTGCTAGACACTATTCAAAGTACTGTAAACTCATCTGATCTCCCAGCAACTGTATGAGATAAGAATTACTGTTAGCCTCATTTCACAGGTAAAGAAATTAAAGCACAGAAAGCTTCAAAAACTTGCTTAAAGGAGCACAGCTAGAATTTGGACCTGGGATCCAACGCATGTGCTCTAACCACCACACTAGAACAAATAAGTTGTGAGTCAGTTCAAAAGCTTAATTATGTGCCATCAGGTCAATCATTATCAGAACAAGACTGATGTAATAGTCAGCCCACCCATTCTTAATCTAAAGAGAGACTCCTCTCCATTCTCCCTCAACCTTATTCTTAGTGGAAGGGATGGAGAAAGCAGGATTTAGAATCCTTTTCTCACCCTTCCTTATCCAACTCCCACCCCACCACCCCAATCCCTTCTTAAAGAATTTTCTGACGTGTCCATCATCCTACCTGTGCCTTACTTTTTCCTTTAGTAATATGGCAAGAATAATGTGTTTTCCTTCTGTATCATTTGCATGGAGACAATTAATTCAACCAAATTCAGTAAAGGTTCACTGAGTATCTACTGCGTGCTGGGGGTCAAAGTATGTGCTAGCACCAAAGTATTAATGTATAATCCAGTGTCTGCCTTCAAGAAATCACAATCACACAAGTCCACACAATGATCCGTAACACCAGGATATAAAAAAGGTTTTTGAGTATGCAGAGGAAGAAGTGATTAATTCCAAAGGGGAGCTCAGGGTGGTGGTAAATCTAGAAAGGCTTCCCACAGGAGGCAACATAGAAGCCAGGTCTTAAAGAAAGAGCAGGCTTTCTGATGGGCAAGGAAGTGGACAGAGAGAATTCCAGGCAGAGCAAATAACATGAGCAAAGGCATCGATGGTATCAAAGTGCAAAGTATGTTTGGAAAGCACTGAGAATGGGGTTAACCGAGCTTAGAGGTTGGGCCAGGTAATAAAGGCCTTGAAGGCCAAACTAAGAATTAAACTTTCACTTGTAGGGAGCCTTCCAAGATTGTTAAGCAGGAATGACCGAAGATAAATCTGTGGTTTAGAAGGAGCTCTGACAGCAGAGTATGGACTGAGGAAAGGGCATGAAGGGATGCACTTCAGGCAAGGAGACCACTTAGGGAACTGTTGAAATGGTTCAAAAAGGATCTAATGGCCGGCGTCTTTAGTGATGCCAAGTAGAAGATATTTCAAAAGGGCGATTGACAGGACTAGGCCCCTAGTTGGAGATAGGAGCAGCTCAGGAAGTGGGCCTCCAGGATAGCTGTCACATAATCCCAGGATTCCTCTTTTGCTGGCAGGTGATCACGTGTTCTACTAGGGCCCCAGAAGTTGCCAGCATAGACCACAGATGACAGATGAAAGAAGAGGCAGGGTGGATCTCCTGGCCCAGTACGGTCTTGTTATATGTAGGCAAACTGAGGCTCAGGAAAGTGACTCCCAGTCCGGCCGTCTCTTCTCTTCTCTAGGCTCCTTCCTCTGAACCTCAGGGATTAACAGCTTGACCTCCCTGGACCTGAACCCACAGTGCAGTACAGAAATACCTTGGACCCAGAGCCTGGAGGCCAGAGGTGGGAAGCTGTAGTACCTCTTCAGACTCTCCCTTTCTGAATCTGTCTTCCTCCACACGACAGCCCCTGCCCCCCGGGAGGTCTGGGCTATCACAGCTGTGATGCCACTTCCTGCTTGCCCCAGACACTCAGCCCCAGGAGGCCCAGCCCCATTATGGCCCTGCCAAAACAACATCTGGGGAAGCTCCAACAGTCTCGGGGCCTCTTCTCTTGTTTTCTGTCTGGAGATGAAGGGGGGTTAGCCTGGGCCCCTGGGAGTGAGGATGAGGAGGATTTACAACGTGTCTGTCCTCTAAATTTGGGAAAGAGGCAATAAATTCAGCTTCAGAGCTGCTTCCATCCCCAAGTCCATGTGTTCCCCTGTTGAGTTTCCGGCACTTTCGGTCACACCTTCTGGCACTAATGGAGAAGGCCCAGAGGGTGAAGGTGTGGGAGGTCACTTTCTTGGGGGGCCCCAGGATAACAGACTTTTAGCAGATAGTTTCCCTCCTTTTGCTCCTATGATACACCCAGGGAATCACAGAAGCAAAAACACATCACTGGGGACCTTTCCAGCCAAGCACTGGTCTGGCCATCTGTCCACATCTCTCTCCCCTCCCCCAGCTTCCACCGCATCCCTTGTTGACTCTGTCTCTCCTGTACCCTCAGCTGTCCCTCCTTCCTTTGTCCTTCTCCTGCCACAGGGCCAGGCTGGCAAAGGAGGGGAAAGAAGACCAGAACATTCCTCTGCCCAGAGACACTAGTGGGCTAGTAGGGCAGAGCAGCTGAGAAGCAGCCCTCAGGGTAGCAGCTGCCTTTGGGGGAACAGATTCCTTCCCTAGATGGGGCCTGGCATAGAGGCAGCCTTAGTTACAAGCTTGACAAGTCAATAGCACTTTCCAGCCCTTGCCTCCCGTGGCAGGAGAGGGGGCCTGTGTGAGCCAGCACGGTGCAGAGTGATGTGCGGGGATGAAGCCATGAGTATGGGGAGCATGAAGCAGGCCTTTTCCCTCCCCAGCCTGGAGGTAACCCTTCAGTCTCTAAGGCAGCAGCTGACCCCTGAGAGCAAAAAGCAGCAGCACCCTAGAGATTTTCTTTCTTTTCCCTGTCCAACGCTCTGGGTCTCGCGTCTCAGTTGCGGAGCCTCTTTCCTAGAACCCTGGGCTCAGTTGTTGTCTGTAACACCCAGGAAGGACTAAATCCTCGCTCCTTCTTTGTGGTCCCTACCCAAAGGGCAAACGTTCTTATGCCCACACAGCTGTGGACTGCTCTCTGCTGGTCTACACTCACCTCCCCTTCCCATCCCTTTCATTGACCCCCACTTTGGGCCCAGAAAAGCCCCCTATATCCTCACCCCCTCCAAGCATTTTCTCTACCTCCTGGCATTCACTGAAACTGGCTGTGCCCTGAGGGACCTCTCAAGGGAAGCCTGTTTTTCTGTCACATCCCACAGCCCTCAGGCCTGGGTGGCAGGGTCCAAGTCTCCCACGATGGCTCCTCACCCTTTCTCTGAAGTTCATTGTGCCCTGTTGTACTATTATTGCAGGGCACCTGGCCACTCCTTCTCACTGAAGATCTTGCCCCTGCGAGGCTCACAGTCCTTCTCTCTACCCCAAATTCCTGCCACCACTACCTGAGAAAACACTAGTATCTATGTGAGCAGCTGAATTCATTCTGCCACTAGGCCCTCAGTCCCCTGGCTCCACATCCCCAAGGGGCCATCTCCAACCTCTAGCACTGAGCCCCCAGGTGGATGCTCTGAATACTGATACCAGCTCCTCCAGAGTCTGGCTCCCAGGAGTACCCATAAATATTCTTTGAGTAAGCAAATAAATGAATGAAGCCAATGTTGCAAGATTGGAGTGTGGCATAATGGGAAGGGCACGAGACTGGGTGGGAGATCCAGCTTCTAGTCCTAGCCCTGCCACTAAGTAGCTGTGTGATTTTGAGCATCTTTTCACATCTCATGGCCTCCTTCTCTTCATCTGAAAAATTAAAATTTTTGCACAGATGATTTCTGAAAACCCAACTTCTGACAGTTGACAATTGTAAGAGCTATGACTTGTCAAACATCTCTAATATTTAGACTGTGCTAGGTGCTTTGCATATCCTACCTCTAATCTACCCAAAAACTTATTGTCCACATTTTAAAAATGAGGAAATTGAGGCTAAGAGAGATTAAAGATTTGCCCTTTTATAAAGAAACTAGATGGGGCTGGGTGCGGTGGCTCATACCTATATAATCCTGGCCCTTTGGGAGCCTGAGATGGGAGGATTGCTTGTGACCAGGAATTTGAGGCCAGCCTGGGCAACATAGCAGGACCCCATCTCTATAAACAAAAAGAAAGAAAGAAAGAAATGAGGTAGAAGATTCAGGATTAGAATCCAGGTTGGTCAATTTAAAAACAAGTATGTCTAAATGAGTCTCATATCTTAAAATCAAAGAAATCTCATGTTTAGAGGGTCTACTTTTTGCTCTTCTAAAATAGGCCTCTGGTTATTAAAGGTCTTTCTGAGGTGGCAGGGAACTGCCTTCAGAAATCTGGCTGGAAGTAAAGGCCTTGCATGCCCCACCTGTTGCATGGGCCTGCCCCCCGCCCGGACACTCAGTTCAGACATCAGTTGTACGTCAGGTGCTGCAGCAAGGGAGGGTGGAAGGGGGATCATTGCGGGGATAAGACAGGATAGAGCAGCTCACGGTGTCTGGCAGATACATTGGGTAACTGTGGGCTTGGTGCTCTAAGAGTGGCTCTAAGACAGGGTGTGCTGAGTGGCCACTTCATCAGAATGGCGTAGGTTCTCGTTACAAATGCATATACCTGGATACAAATGCATATACCACCTCGAACTACTGAATCGGAATCTCAGGGAGCATCCGCTTGATGTGAATTTTCATCAAACTCCCCAGGAGACTGGAATTACTGTCCCAAGAATCCCTGGGGTATGTAGGGACTTGAGGGTCAGAGAAGAGATTTTTAATTAGTGTCATGGGTAGTGGGAAGCCATTAAAGCAGCATTTAAAGCAGAAAAAGAAGGGCAATGCTATTGGAAGAAAAAGAAATCAGAACCAAGAAGAAGGGAGAAAAGTATCTTGATTTGTTACATGTTGAGACTGAAATACCAGGAAAATATTTCAAAGATGTCCAGTTCTCAATTGGGGGGGGGAGTTGAGAGCTCAGTAATAAATGTGGGATTAGAGATGAAGGTTTGAGATTTATTCTTTATCAGGAGGTGCAAATTCAAATACCTCCAGGATCAAGGCAAGTGAGGATTGAGTGTAATAAAAAAAAAAAAACCCAGCACACATCCATAATAAATGGCAATTACCACTTGGCCTCAGCAGGGATGCGATAGAGAATGGTGGAGAATGTGGTGAACTGGAGGACATACTTACTCCCTGTCTTAGGGACCAGTCGTTGCCAAACAGGAGTGTGGGACCAGTGTTAACAGATATTCTGGTTTTTAAAGAGAAATCATAATTCCAGATATTTTTTTATTTTAACATTTCCTAAAAGTTAAATGTTGACAACTAATTTTTAAAATGCTTAAATACTATGCAGGCCAAACAATATATATCTATGGTCAGCTCTGCCTTGCAGGCTTCCAAATTGTGACTTTTGAGTTACACGGATGGGATTCAGGAGAGAGGGTTCAGCAAATTGAGAAGAAACCCAGAGGCTGCACTGTTGGGAACCACGGTCCTCCTCTATTTGGGAGCTTACCTGTGGGTGAGCCCAGGGCACAGAGAGGTCCTGAGTTTTTGGCCACTGAGTGTCTGGTGGGCTCCCATGTTGGTGGCAACAAGTAAAGCCTGCACCTGTCATAGCTATTTCTGCTCATCACCTGAAAATCATGTGGGTAGCCACTGTGGTCCTGATACTTTTCAGGTTAGATGCCATCTTGAGCCTGCAGCTACACCCTGCCACCCTCTCTGGCTATTTTCGTCCCCTACTATGAAGATGCCTTGTCTCTTGGAGTATCTGAGTCCTGGCTGGAGCAGGCATCCTGTTTAACACATCCTTGATGCACACTTTTATATCAGGAAGTTTTGTTGCCTAATTTAAATGCTTTTTGTATAACTGAATCTTCTTTTGCTTCTTCTATCTTCAGAGCAAATGGTGAAATGGGTTACTTTTTAGCTTTCAGACTCTCCTCCAGCCCTCAATAGTTTCTGAAAAAGGGTCCTCGGGGACTTAAAAATTGTTGTGACCTACAGATTAGAAAGCCCTTTGCTTATTTATATTTTACCAAGACTTCCTTTAGTCTCAATGGGTAGTCTTCCTCTTACCCTCAACCCTAATCATCTTTGTACTGTCTATTTCTGTCCCTGCTGTCAGTTCACTTTGGGGTGGGGGGAAGGGGGTAAAAACAGAAACTTTTTAAAATAGCTAACATCCTCACTTTCCTGCAGTCCTTTTTAGCAGGTTTTATAGACAATGTTGTTTTTTTCTGTTCTTGATTTTTCTTTCTGATTCTAAAAAATAACTTCCAGACTGGCTGGTCTAGAGCTGACCTTGAAAGGCACAACTTTGTGAGAAGATAACAGGGAACCCTAAAAGTTGTCCTGGACATTACCCAATGATGCCTGCAAAGAGTTATGAATATATTTAGCAGTATTTCCACCCTGATTAGGAAATGAGGAAGAGGCATGATGGTCCTCCCTCCCTGGGTGATGTTTCTTATCAACTCTGGGCAGCACAGCAAAGTTTTCACCAATGAGGTCTGTAAAGAGGAAAGATCAAATTAGCGTCTGCACCAGCCACACTCAGACATGCCCCGCCAAAATGTACATCTGACTAAAACTCCCACATTTCACAAAATGATCTTCTTTAACAGATACCATTAGAAGTGCCTACTGACATCTGCTAACACATATGTGTATTCCCTCCTATCCACGAGCATCAGAGAACACACACACATTTAAGTACATATGCTCACTCAGCTATGCATACTGCCTTCCCTGCACACACACACACACACAGAAAATCCACACCGTGTAGCATATGAGTGAACTGATGGCATCCTCCTAGAATATCTCCACCCAGCCTCTGCCTGCAAATCAGCTTCACTCAACCTCAGGTTTCTACTTGTGGTCAGAAATTTGAGAGGCAACCAAGCCCAGTCCCCTCAGGCCCAGCAGGGCACTGGGAAAGATAGAAATCACATACAATGACCTGGTTGCTCCTGGATGGAAAGTGGAGAGCAAAGCCTGCGGCTAACCCCACAGACAGGGACAGCGCAGAGGCCTGAGGAGAGAGACCCAGTTCTGGGTGGGCGTCTGGTCTGAGGACAGCAGTTTGGAATGCTGCGGGCCACTCTTGAGTGGGTCACATGGGTGGGCCATGCAAGTGGGTGAGATGGGCAACCAGCACCAGAAGAACCAGTGAGTCTGGGTTACACAGCACACAATTTTCTGGCTCACATGAGACATAAGCTGAAGTTCACCCTCACTTCCTGCACCACCATGCCCCCTCTGCAGCGGGAGGAGTCCCAGGTCAGCAGAGTGCAACAGCATTTAAAGTTCAAAACTCAACTCAAGGCCCTCAGGGTGAGGGTGGAAGGAGAAAGGGAAAAGTGAGGAGAAAGAGGAATGTCAGGAAGGGGAGGAAGAGGAGCAGAAAGAAGAGGTGGAGAGGGAGAGATGGACCCTCTCACCTTATCCTGATGTTCAAACTACACCTTGGTTATACCAAGGAAAGTGTGGAGGGGCAGGGAGGGGCAAAGTGCAAAGGGCAATGTGGAAAGGAAAAAAGAAGGAGTGAAATCTTGACTTTGAGTTTCTAAGGATCCTGGTTCTAGCAATTTAAGGGCAGTTTCAGGAAATATCAAAATAACTGAGACTACTATAATGTATTTGGCTTTATAAGAAATTGATTTGAGAACCTAAATCCTGGGCTGGGTACAATGACACTATATATTGATGCGAGAACTTTGAATGTGGGATAAATTAAGCTTCCTCTCCCTAGACTTGTGTGTAGAAAGAAATGGGGATGAGAAAGTAGGAAACTGCCTTCTGGTTCTATGGATCATCTCCGTGCTAAACAAAGTTCACAAACTAATCACCAGTTTTTGCTCAACTTCAGGTTTCTACTTGTGGTCAGAAATTTGAGAGGCAACTAAGCCAAGTCCCCTCGGGCCCAACCAGGTGAGGCTGACACACCTTGAGCAATGGAGACAAGGGGTTACAGCCTCCTTGCTCCTGTCCCATCCAGTGCATTGTCATCATCTGTAATGGCAGCTTGTTGGGATGTGGGCCGTGGCAACAGTGGCACAAGGGCTCCGCGGTCTCATGAAAAAGGCACCATATTTGAAGTCTGCAAATTTGTTCCCAATCCTGGCTCTACTGGGAACTCACTGTGTGGTCTGGTGGATGACATAAAAACTACATAAGGACAGATTTCTAAGGCAAACAAACAGGTGATGGTCTGTCAAAAGACTTTTTTCATCAATTCTGGTTACAGGAGATGTAAGGCCCAGAACACCACACCCCTGTCAAAGACACACTAACAAAGACATGGTAAGTGTTTTCAGATTTAGGTGCTGAATGGCCCCTTTATAGCTCTCTATTCCTTGACCTATTTCACTGACTTCCTTGGTGGCTGATCTTGGTCATTTCCGGCCTTGCCGACACCTGGTCTCTTTGGTTTGATGCATCTCTGGATTATCTTGTTTCCAGTGTCAACCCTGTTTCCTGTAACAAAAATTTTTTCTCCTAAATGAGCAGAGATAATAGTCTCATCTGGCCTGATCCAGCTTCTGGGGCGGAACTGGTGAAGTGGCCATAGAAGAGATGTGTTTAATGCCAAAATATCAGAATTCCATGGCATTTTGAGTAGTTATATGAAACAGTAGAGCAGAATATTTGAAATCTGAATTGTCCTGGAAATGTGGGACATATGAACATAGTAGCCAGTTTTCAAGTAACTCACAAACTGTTGTTGAAATGTCAACCTCTAAAAAGATCATAACAACACCACACAATAGATTATGAATGCCCAATGAATGGTATGGATGACATTAATTCAACATTGAGAGAATGGTTGGTGTAGGTCCCTAAGGTGGAATACCAAGCTTAAGCTGTGCCTTTGGGACTGCAGGGGGTTGAGAGAAGTGTGAAGGAGGTGGTGAGCTACCCAGGAGATAAGACCATGAGCCATGGACATGCATGAAACGGGGACTATGTTACAGAGCACAGATAGAGATCATAGGCAAAATGTTGAGACGTATGGGCTGCAGAGCTACTGTGATACTTAGAGGACACTGAGGAGAGTGACCCTGGAGCACAGAGTCAGAAACCTAAAAAAGTAGGTGGGGCTAAATTATGAAGGTCTTAACTATTAGGCAAAAAAAAAAAAAAAAATCCAAACTTAATCTAATGGACAAAGAGGGAAGGAGATGTTTCAGAATGATCTGAGCAAGAGAAGAGCAAGTGAATACAGTCCTTTAGGAAGGCAACTCTACTAACAATGGGAAAGGTAGATGGTTTGGGCATGGAATTGGACAGAGTCCACTGCAATTATCCAGATATGAAGAAGCAACGGGTTTGGGGAACTGGGTCTGAGGAGCAAATTACTAGGAGAGGCTAAAGAGTTTTCTGGGTGGAATGACTGAGGAAATGATGGTGTCTCTTGACAGAAAATGGAGATCAGGAAGGGAGCCAGCTTTGGAGAAGACATGGGCTTAGGCTGACATTGAGGTGGTGGCTGGACATCCGAGGGAAGGGACAGAGCAGGTGGGAAGAGGAGCAGGATGGAAGGACATGAGGACAGACTATGCAGATAAGAAAATCCATTGTAAAAAAGTAAACGTCAAAACGGACTACATGAACAGGATCTCTCTGAAGAAAGGAAGTGGAAAGAAAAAGGAAGAGGACTGAGGGGACGCAGTGTGGAGAATGAGGGGTGTGTGGGAGGAGGGCGGGGGTGACACAGGAAGGGATCCAGGGCTGGCACAACTAGGAAAGCGGGCAGAGAAGCCTGGGACACAGTATCGAGGACAAGGACAGGGAGACTGCTTCCAGAAGGTGGTCAGAGGGCCCAGAGTTCAAGGAAAATAGGAATTTACGGAGGCCACTGGGTTTGAATCGTTTAACAAATACAGGGCATCAATGTGTGCCAGGCCCTGTGCTGGGCTGTGGGGTGCTGGTGACATCGACCAAGCGCCTGCGATGGTGCCAGCCCCTGAGTGTAGCAGGGGGAGACCGAGGCTGGATTTCCCCCCTGATGAGCCATACTTACAAAAGCTTCAGTCCACACACAGCGAGGAAGGAAGAGGGCTGGGGGAAGGAGGAAAGGAGGAGGGGTGAGTGGGAAAATATGTGCAGTTGAGAGCCGACCACTGCTTCAAAAAATTTGGCACTTAAAGGAAAGTGAGAACTAGAAAAGTAACTTGAGGGGACAGAAAAGTCTTACCAACACTCCCCCCAACCCCGCCAACTAGGTGAGACTTGTATGTGTCTAAGCAAGAGAAAAGGCATTGCTGTAGAGGAAGAGCGCAGCTTGTTGAGGGAGGTGGAATTCCTATTAACATTATGGAAATAAACAGAAGACTTAGTCCCCATTTCCAAAGAGCCAAGAGAAATTCATTCTGACTAGTTAAGAAACCTGGCAAAGGAGTAAAATGGTGACGAAGCGTCCCGGCTAGTGGTTCTGACAGTGTGCGGCTGAAAAACGCAGTGGGAGTCAGAAAAGGGGAAGGCTTGGGAGAGGTGGTATCCGCGAAGGCTTCTCGGAGGCGGCGGCCTCTAACCCGAACCTTAAGGATGGGCGGAGAAGCGAGGGGCACGCCGGGCGAGGAACACGCGGGACCGACTCCCGGTCCCTCCGCCGCGCGCTCTCGGTCCGCCCCCCGGCCGGGGAGCCCCGCGCAGGTTCCCAGCACTGACGTCAGCGTGCAGTGACCTCAGCGCCGAGGAGGCGGGGGCGGCCGCGGCCGGGGAACTGCGGGGCGGGAGGGGGAGGCGAGTGCCCGCACGAGGGGCGGGCCGGGACAGCCCCCATCCGCCGGCCGCGGCCAATGGGCGCCGCCGCCGGGGACACTATGAAAGGCGGGCCCCAGGGAAGTCCCGGCAGAGCCCGAGCAGCGGCCAGGCCGGCGGAGGCTCGCGGACCCGCACGTCCCACCGCAGACCTCTCCCCGCGCCCCAGCGCCACCGCTTGCTGACCGCGCACGACATGAGCCACGGGAAGGGGACCGACATGCTCCCAGAGATCGCCGCCGCCGTGGGCTTCCTCTCCAGCCTGCTGAGAACTCGGGGCTGCGTGAGCGAGCAGAGACTTAAGGTTTTCAGCGGGGCGCTCCAGGAGGCACTAACAGGTGAGCGCGCGCCTGGCGCCTGGGGCCTGGCGCCACTGGGGCTCGGCCCCCTCTTTGCCAGGGCCGTCCTTCCTCTACTTTGGGGGCAGAGTCGCCCGAGCGCGTAGCTCCGGGACTCGATTGCCTCCTCCGTTCCTCGGGGCGGCTCGCGGTCCCCCTCTTCACGTCTCCCCTCTCCTGCGCTCTGGTCTCGGTTTGTGGATGTTCTTGTTGGGCGCGCCCCTCCACGTTCCCCGGGGGCGCAGACCCTGGTCCTGGAGTGCCATCCCGAGTCGGCAGTGTCCCGGAAGAGGGGGTGCCTGCTGGTCTGAGTGCGGTCTGGTCTCCCTCGCTGTACCCTTGAGATCTCGAGACCCTCTGTTGTGAGCGACAGAGCCCTGCTGGCCCAGAGACCCTTATGGGAGAAGGCGGCGCATCTGACGGAGCCCTCTCCGCAACTTGGAGTCCCCAGCGTGGTTCTTCCGTCTGGGCTGCGCTGTGCCTGGGGCAGTCTGCCGGTTGTTAACTTGCTGGAAGTTGGAATCTGGGCGCTCTTTGTGTTCTCTTTGGCCCCCTTTAGCCATCTGCCACCTATTGTGGTGCGGAAGACGGCCTGCTAGCCAGTAACTACTCTGCCTGATGTGTGCTGGGGGCGGGGTGGGGGCGATAAGCACCTCTGGCTGGGGAGAGCCCTAGCGCTGGTTGCCGGCAGCCCTGGAGAGTGATAGCCATCTCCGAACGTGCCCACACAGATCCCGCCTTCTGCGGAAGACAGATGTTTCATCAAAACAACCAAGTTTTTACTCCCTGAGCTGCTGCTAAGGGTCTCTGACTCTTCCGAAAGGGGCAGCAGGGGCCACTGGGCACAGGGCGGAAGGCCAGTGACTTGCTGTGGGCCCAGCAATGTTGGCAGCATTCATGGCCTTGAATCGTCAGCTCACAGGTCTCCAGAGGCCTTGCCTGGTCATGCCAGCCCCAGTCACACCCTTCCCTCCTTAAACTGGGGGTGTGCCAAAAGCAGTACGCTGGCCACTAGAGTGTACCCCAGAGCTCTGGGATCTCCTCACAATATACACACATACCTCTCCTGGAAGGGGGGGGGGCAAGTCTCGCCAAGCTCCCCAAAAATTTTCTCTGCTAAGTGGCAAGAGGGCCCTGAAACTCAGGAGACTCCACCTCCCTTATTTAAAATCATTGGGCCCCTTCCCCTACTCCTAACCATGCACCCTCTTCTGCGCCTTGTGGTAGTATCCCTGGCCCAGCTGCTCTAACCCTGGCATCTCCGCCTTATCCTGTCTCCACAGAGCACTACAAACACCACTGGTTTCCCGAGAAGCCATCCAAGGGCTCTGGTTACCGCTGCATCCGCATTAACCACAAAATGGACCCCATCATCAGCAAGGTGGCCAGCCAGATTGGACTCAGCCAGCCCCAGCTGCACCAGCTGCTGCCCAGCGAGCTGACCCTGTGGGTGGACCCCTACGAGGTGTCCTACCGCATCGGGGAGGATGGCTCCATCTGTGTCTTGTACGAAGAGGCCCCAGTGGCCGCTTCCTATGGGCTCCTCACCTGCAAGAACCAAATGCTGCTGGGCAGGAGCAGCCCCTCAAAGAACTACGTGATGGCGGTCTCCAGTTAGGTCTCCTGCCGCCCCACCCTGGCACTCTACTGTACTCATCCTGCCGTGACAACAGCCCACCACATACCTCAACCTGGGGAACTATTTTTAAATGAAGAGCTATTTATATTATATATATTATGTTTTTTAAGAAAAGAGGAGAAAAAAAAAAACCAAAAGATTTTTTTAAGAAAAAAATCCTTAAAGGGAGCTGCTTGGAAGTGGCCTCCCCAGGTGCCTTTGGAGAGAACTGTTGTGCGCTTGAGTCTGTGAGCCAGTGTCTGCCTGTGGGCTGGGGAGCAGAGCAGGGGTGGGCCTAGCTAAGGTGAGATGGGAGAAGCTTGGCCAGCAGCCCAAGAAGATGTGAGAGGGAGCAAGCTAGGTTAGCAACTGTGAATGAGAGAGGTCAGATCTGCCCTGGGGGGAGAAGAGAGGCTGAGTCCAAACCCCTCTCTCTCCCCACCAGGACACTGGCATCCCTGGTTTCTCTCTTACTCAGGGGCATTCAAGCCTGGACTTAAATAATACTCTGTTGCCTAATCTTGTCTTTTATTTTTCTAATGAGATCCTGGGCAGAGAGTGAAAAGGCCTCTCCAATTCCTTCTGCCCTAGGCAGCTTTTCTTGAAATCATGACTTGTTTCTAATTCTACCCTCAGGGGCCTGTAGACATTGCTTCCCAGCCAGGAATCTAAAGCTTTTTGGTATTTTTGGTTTTTGGTAGGGGGGAAATGTAAGGCAGGGGTTGGAGATTATTGGGGTTAGAACCGAAGGGAACTCTGCACAAAACCTTTGCTTTGCTATGTGCTGCTTTGTGTGTATAATTTGGGGGTGATTTGCAATGGAATTTTGGGACCCAAAGAGTATCCACTGGGGATGTTTTTTGGCCAAAACTCTTCTTTTTGGAACCACATGAAAGTTTTGATGCTGCTGCCATTATCCCTTTGAGAGGTGGCTCAAAAGCTACAGGGAACTCCAGGTCCTTTATTACTGCCTTCTTTTCAAAAGCACAACACTCCTCTCTAACCCTCTCCTCTCCTCTTCCCATCTGATTGGGTCATGGAGCTATTTTCTAGGCAGTTCTCAGTCACTGTGCAATATGCCCCCTGGATTCCAAGAGGGTCTGGAGACCTGGCTCTCAGAACCTCCTGGTACCCTGGTGGGCTTAGGGAACCGTCTCTCCTGCTCTCCTTGGGATTATGGCTGGCTAGTCAGCCTTGCAGGTATTCCTTGGCTGAATGGGAGAGTCCCCCAAGTTCTGCAAGACTACTTGGTATTCTTGCAGGGCTAACACTAAAAGCCAAACCTTAGGCATTGTTTTTTCTCCTTAGTGCTCTGAGCACCAGTGGGAGAGGTTGCTGTCTCTCTCAGTACAATCCAAATTTGTCTGTAGACTTGTGCAATATTTACTGTTGTGGGTTGGAGAAAAATGGAAAACTATACTGGGAAGAAAACCCCTTCCTTCAGTTTCTCAGTGACATTGGTAGGGGTCCTCAGAAGGCCTCGAGTTTCCCAAACTGAATCACCTTAAGAAGGACAGAGCTAGAGCATCTGGTCCACCTGGCTTCCCTCCTGCTGTTGACCCTTAGTGAGGAGTCTTCCCTTCCTCTTCCTCTGCACCCAAGTTCTCCTCCCCACAGCCAGTCCCCTCTCTGGGATTTCTTAACAACTCAATTTTGATTCAAAGGTGCTATTTACCAAACACTCTCCCTACCTATTCCCCCTGGTCCTGCCTCCTTTCCAACTTCCCAGATTTCATGCTGCCTTCCCAGACCCTGCTCCCCGTCCTCACTGTTTTAAAGCTAACTTTGGGCCCACAGACCTAAGAGCTAATGCTCTGGCCTGTGGGTTGAAACAAAGCTGTGAATTACTGCAGGTTGTGTTCTTGCATCTTGTCTGCAACAGGCCCCTGCCTTTTTAGAAGCAGCCTCATGGTCTCATGCTTAATCTTTTCTCTCTTCTCTTCTTTTGGATGTTCACTTTAAAAACAACCAGCCCCCCAGAGCCGGACTGTTGAGCAGGCCTGTCTCTCTTATTAAGTAAAAATAAATAATAGTAGTATGTTTGTAAGCTACTCTGACAGAAAAGGCAAAGGTTACTAATTGTATAGTAGTGTTTTTATATGGAAGAATGTACAGCTTATGGACAAATGTACACCTTTTTTTTTTGTTACTTCAATAAAAATGTAGCAGATGAACTCCTGTGGTGTAGAGAAGATAAAATTTCCACATTGCTAATTTGCATTTCCCTCTCAGATCCAAATCCTGTCTTTGCATTTCATAGTATTTCTCTTCAGTTATACTCAACCTATAGCATGTGGGTGGCACAAAAGAAAAATCTAGTTGTGTGGCTGGGCCATTTCTAGGCACCCCCCTCTTCCCTAGGAAGTAGCCCCTTACTTTCCTCCTTTAACACATATTCTAACAGTTCCCTGTGAAAGTGCTAGAAATAACAGCATTCTTTTAGTCAACATTCCTTAGTCTAGCCAGGTCTCCATCTTACACATCCTGTTCTTGGTGGTCCTTAGTTTTCACGCATGCACTCACTGACTCAGTCATTCATTTATTTAGCAAGCATGTTGTCAGTAAGTGCCACACACTGAAAATATGAAAAGTAATTAAGACAGCCTGTCTCTCAGAGACCGAGGTGGGTAAGCAAGGGATAATGAACCCTCTCAGGCTGGGGCAGGATTGTTTGCAATTCCTACTAAAGGCTCTCTTGTCATCTCTGGGGCTGCAGTTTGCTACTTGCCATACTTGTCCTCTTAGACAAGATCAGTTGGGCCTCAGGATCTATGTACTAGAGCTGAATACCATTGCCACAAGGTAGCTAAAGAGTGGTTACTTCTGACAGCAAAAACTGGTGTGAGAGTTGGAAGTTTGCTACGAATTCATAATTCCTTTTGGCTATATGTAAAATAAGAACTGTCTACATTATCCCTGACTTTGAGGCTCTTTCCATGAAGTTTTGACACAGGCTCAGCTGTGCCCCCTGAGGTCACAAGTACATTTTTGACCTAGACTAATTTTTTTCTTGACCATAGGTGGGCTGTCTTTACACTAAATTTTAAGCAAGTTGACTCATACACAGGGGCACGTACACATGTGCTCACACACACATACACATTTCATACCTCCATGACTTTTATCAACAAAAGTGAAGTTTGTTCTAGGTGTGCTAAGTCAGAAGTAGCCCAGGAAGGTGGTGTGTGGTGTGCTCATACTGCTTGAGGAGATCAGGAGAGCCAGGGATGGGGTCAGGTCATCCGTATCATAAATGGAATTTGGTTATTGAGATCCACTTGTGTCAAGGGGCTGTTATTTAAAGGAATAGTCCCATTTTCATTTGTAGTTTCTAATACAAATGTCCCAGGAACTTGTTTAAAAGGACCTACTTTTTTAGATGTAAGGACAGGGCTGAGGTTCAGGAACTTTTGCCCATCCTGATGTGCTGTTCTCTTTTGGGTATTTGGTATAAAGTAAGCATCTATCTTCTTTCCTAAAAGGCCCCACTATGAAGGATATTTCATTGTTAAGTGGCAAGATTGAAATTCAGGGAAGGTTGTCTGGAAGCTGAGGGGACAAGCCAAGGAAACCACAGGATGACAGATACATCTTGGAGGTGAATAATAATCCCTCTATTTACATGAGAGCATTCTGTGATCAAGCAATGTGTTACTTATTTTAGATCTGACCACTTTCAGTAGAAGTGGAGAGAACTCTTTGGCCAGCTGGGAGTATAAGAGGCCTGGCCTTGAATTGCTCAAAGACTAGCAGTTGGTGGCTTTCCTATGGGTGAGGCAGGAGGCATTGGTTGGTCCATTCTGCTTCTAGCTCCCCCACTTGGTAAACACTGCCAGCCTGGGAGACCTGTGCTTGGTCAGCTGTTTTTGGATGATAATGCAACTCCCCAGAGTGTGTTGACCAGGCCCTGTGAGCTGCAGATTAAGAGCCCATCCTGGCTCCTGATAAGGAGTTTTGGGTGGGGCAGTCCTTGATGCTGCAACAAACAAGCCCCAGGAAGAAGAAATCCACTTCTGTGGGTCTGACATCTGCTCCTATAGCAGTCTGTGGTAAGGAAAGATAGTGAAGACTCAAGTGTCCTGGCTTCCAGGCCAGTACCTACATCCTTGTTCCAACAAAGAATTATGCCCTGGGAGGGAGAATGCATGGGTTGTGGTCCTAGTTCTCCTTCCTAACTAGCTGTGTGAGTTTGGACAAGCCCCACAGCTTTTCCCAGCTTCAAAATTAGGGGGCTGGATTAAATGACTGCTGTTCCTTTCTTCAGCTTTTAATTATAAATCATCCCCATTATCCTGGCAATCATTGGAGGGCAAATTAGCAGCATTATTTCATTATTTTCAATTAGTTGAACTGAAAGGTAATTTGGACTGGAAAGTAGAGTAAGTAATAATCTCTTGCTTGGGTCAGACTCTTGCCTGATAAGATTTCAGTTTCCAAGCACAGTGAGGCAGTAGGCAAAGAGGTTAGGAGCTCAGGCTGTGTGGAGTCAGGCCACCTGGGAGTTCTAATCTCAGCTCTACCACCTACTTACCAGCTGTGCAACCTGGGGCTAGTTACTTCAACCAGACCTCAATTTCTTCATTTGCAAAATGTGATAAAGAATAGAACCTATTTCAAAATGTTATGAAGATTAGATGAGATCCATAAACTACTTAGAATAGTCTAGCACATACTGAGTAAAATGAGAATTGTTGTTCCAAGCAGACGTTAACCTCTCCAAGGACTCTGAATTGGTCCTGAGATGAAGTACACGCTGGCATACTGGTGGCAGAAAACCATTATTAAAGTAATAGTACCTACTAGTACCCTCAAGAATGGCTGCAGTCAACACCACCAAAGCAGCCTGTGGCCTCTCCCCAACAAAGATGATCACAATCCTTTGTTTAAAAATCTGCAGTCCAAAAGCCCTTCATAGAGTCATATGCAGCCCATACTAGGCACTCTCTAAGTGCCTGCTGAATGAATGGTTGCTGAATGAACGAGCTCACGTCTGATGTCTGTCATTCCTGTGGAAGTGTACAGTATCATTGTTAGGCATCTGACCTCCTTAGCAGGCCACGGGGCAGTTTTGACCCACTGGCTCCACTGGTCTGCCTGTAGATTAACACTAACCTGGGCTACGTGCTCATTTACACACACACTGAGTAGGGAAAGGAGTTCCCAACAGCAACTTTGCTTACCTCCCTTGTACCCATCTGTGGACTCACATCCACGTGTTTTCCCTTCCCAGAAGAGAAATAAATGGGGACACTGAGAAGGACAAGCCCAAGCTGTGTGGCTTTCTCTCCACTTCTTTGCAAAGCTGGCAAGAAAAAAGTTTTGAGCTCAATCTAAGAGGCTTCCAGGGCCATGGATAACGATTATATACAAACGAGTGTGTCCTGGATATACAAACGAGTGTGTCCTGGATATTCAGCCGATCTTTCCCCTGATGGGAGCCTCATTCTCTGGGCTGCTAGCTCTAGCTCATTTTGTTCCCAGTGGCTCTGCCACTCCCCACCCCATTCCTGTAAACAAGAAGGGGCCTTGATTCAACCCTTGTCCAGTAAACCGCACAGGCTGCCTGGAGCACATCAGATAAGAGGAGGTAATAGCTGGTGGGTTGGAGCGAGGACTGTTTTATTTACTAGCAACATCAGGGAAGGGCTATTTAAAGTCCAATGGGCACCAGGGTAGCGAGGGCGGGACTAGGCAGTAAATGAGTGAGGCTAATTGGACAGAGGCTGCAGCAAACTTGGGGAGTGAGATCAAGTCCTTATCTGAAAAGGCCCCCCTCCTTAACTCTAGTCTACTGTCATCATGGGAGACCAGTGGTACCAGACATTGAGATTTTTCAAGAGCAGTCTGAAATGTAGACTCTTATTTGACATCTCCCTAAACTCTAATGATGGAAAGTAGTTTTTTTTAAAAAAGTGCTAAATGCTGTTTTTTAAAGTATATATCTGCGTGTGCCCCCAATTTGTGACCTATGATGCACTGGGGCCACCTGGGAATGGGATGTAGGAATTTCCAACCCCACTCCCATACTAGGAGTGAGGCTCTGCAGTAGGGATATCAGTGGCAGGCTGTCCCCAGGCCACAATCTCTAGGAAGGGGCATTCTGGTATGTTTCTTATAGGATTGAAGGCACACAGGGGCCTCTGCTTCCCCCCAAGAATTAAACAAAAAGTAGCTCTTCCCACCCTCAGCTAGTGCCCATTAACCTGTGCTTGGCAGAGCAGCCTCTGGGCCTTTGCTCAAGGAATGTCACACCTCCTTTTGCCTGCTTAATTCTTGTCTTCAAGATTCAGACCACCTTTTCCGGGCAATTTTTCAGGGGCAACTCCCCTTCACAGCCTGGAACATGTGGACTCCACTTGAGTTCCACAATGATACTCAGTTCTTACAATCCTGTATTTACAGATAGAAGGCACGCCAGAGACCTTGCCCTGGCAGGGTCTGGTGCTTGGTAGGTGTAAGTGACCACTGGTTGAAAGTATGAATGTCAAAGTTGCCAAGTCTGGAGGCAAGCACATGAAAGAGATTTAGATTTCAGGGTAGAAGGAAAAAAATCAAGCCCATTCAGGGTTGGCTAAGGAGTTCCAGCTCAAAACAGCTGGGAGTCACTGGAAATCTGTGGTCACACCTTGAGAAAACTCAGTCCTTTGAATCTAGCAGGTTCTTAAGTCTTTAAGCACCTGCCAAAGAAATGTAAATGTCACTTAGAGGGGGGTGGACACACTTTGAATGATAATGTAAGAGAGCTTTAGTTATCAATTAACTCCCTAAATGGGTTTACCCAGAAGGTAATCAGCTGGAGAGAAGAAAGCTGGGCTACATGTGGCCAGGAAAGGGCTCTGACCTAGGCAGCCAGAATGGGAGAATAGATCCCACAGCCACTGAACACTGCTCCAGTCCAGAGAAATCCCCCTTCCCGCTGTCTACTTTGGAGGCCAGCTGCGCGGTAATGGAAACAGCACTAGGCCTAGGGGATGGGAAATAGGGGCCTAGCTTCATGGCTGACGATGACTAGTAATAGATATCTTTGACATCTTGGACTGGTCCCTTCCCCGCTCTGAGCCTCAGTTTTCTCATCTGTAAAATGAGTCACTTGTGCTAACTTAGCTATTACAATTCCATTTCCGTTTTCAAATGGAACGGAAATAATTCTTTCATTCTACTGCTCCATTTCCTG